CCCTCAACGCAGCCTATTCACACTCCTGCCATTATGCAGATGTTGCAGGAGTTTGATTTTTTGCTCAAAATGTCAGATACATCTGTACATGTTTAATCCCAAATCTGATGTGAAATAAGTGAGTGGACGACACCAACACCCCAGTGAGCGACAACCTTAGCACCAAGGGGACAAAACTAGAGCTGTTCAAAAACAAAACATTGAGTGAGAACAGCCTGGACTTTGACATGTAGAGAAGATTTAATATGTTCACCTCAAGCTAAAATGTGGACATTTGGCATTATAATAGGATGTAATTGGCAGAAAATCACAAAAGAGCATTATAGTTCCCCTTTGAATCAACATGCAAAACCATTATTAATAATAACAGGCAGAGTCTATCAACCAAACAACAGCAGTGTCAGCACAGTCTGCAGGCGCACAGCCAGGAGCAGCATCCACAGGCCAAAGTATCTGTTGCCTCTGTGTGAATATCACTGTCACCTGCTGCACAGACATGGACCTGTGGCTCAGTGTATTCAGAACTTGGTAAGTTGCCTCTGGTGATACCTTCACTGACTCCTTCAGATTTCGGGCATGTACGTTACCAACAGGCCCTAAAGGGAACTCAGGAGGAGATGGCACTTTCTTTGTTTCTGCACTGCAACGTGTTGTGCAGACTGTCAGCAGGCCCCACTGCTCAGGCTTCATGAACCTGGAGGAAACAAGCTCCTCCCTGAGGAGGCGCCTGTTTGTGACCACATCGTCATCGCTGAGGCAAAGTGCTGGTCGCTGTGACTTGTGTTGCATTTCATTAGTCACGTCAGTCCTGTGAGTGAGTGAGTGTCCACTGTGACCCCTCTCACTGAGCTGACTGGACATCACACACACGTCCAATAAGGTGTTACATTTGACAGCTCGGCTACTTGTCACACTTAATTGCCAGTTTTATTCATTCTCACTGCAGTGAAACAATATATGTGTTTCAGTGTCACCTTTTCACACCCTGGTGGTTGCTGCAGACTGAGGTCAGTCTCCCAAAGCTGATGTTATTTATCATCCGTGACTGAGGACAGCGACGATGTGAGCGCTGACATTCAGCGTTTTGTGGAAAAGCGGACAGAAGCTTGAACCTGACTCTCAGTAATGAGGTGGAGGTCGACGTGGCTACTGATGTCTGTCAGAGTGAGGCCGTGGTCATCACACCAAAGACCCGACAGCTCTGAGATCATGTGATGAGGAAAAGGTTTAAGCAAAGTCGAATCTGATGGAAAGTCTCTGGTTGGTTAGAGGTGTCAATCAAAAAAATCTAAACCTTCAGAAGCTGATATCTCTGCACTGCTGCCAGTGGTTTTCACTGGGTCACAGGAGGCGTCGACAGCTCCTCTCCACATTAGGACATGTTTTGGATTTCTACAACAACACCTGAAAAAACTGACCTACTGTAGCAGTCCAGCCCCACCAACAAAATCTGGGCATTGTGATCCATGATGTGTCAGTACAGGAGTAAATTAGACTATTGTTGATTAAGCAGTATTAAGTGTTTTCTCTGGAAAATTCTGAACACAACAACATTTCCAGTACCCGGCGTGCTCCTCCACCAGCTGTCAGCGACTCCCAGACAGAAGCTCTAAACACAGTCGGACATGGAGCCTGAGAGATGTTCATGAAGCAGCCTCAAACACACAGCTACAGCGTGCGAGCTGTTGGACTCAGAACCAGACTAGACTCCTGCTAAGAGCAGCTCTCCTTCACATCATCACTTTATAAGAACGTGTCTGCGAGTCTGTCGTTTCAGACTCCTCATGAGCTCCAAGTCACTTCGGCTATTTTCTGAAGCAACGTTGAGCAGCAGACTATTGTGTGACCATTATTTACAATGACAAACAGTCATGACAGGTGACAAGGCAGCATCATCCATCCTCTTCTGCTTGAAAACTTGATCCACTGGGGTTTGGGTTGTACATCACTCTGGACAAACTGCCATAGTCACCCACACTGACATAAGCTTCAACCCTACAACCAAGTCTTAATACTCAACAACCCTTTGAACTAGTGAGGACCGGGACAAAATAACCTCAAAGTCCAGAATGTCCTCGGCAGTGCGTGATAAATCTTAACAGACAATAGTACAGAAGCGTCAGAGATGTGTCTCTGTTGCACCGGCTGACCACCGGAGAGCACCGAGTGGTGCTTCTGTCACTGCACAGCCTGGTCACTGTTCTTTAAGGACCACGGTTAAGGGACAAAGATGTTGATGCTGTGGATTCATTTAAGATTTTTATATTCTTTGATATCAGTATAGACCTCACACTTCCAGCTTCAGTCAGACTCATTCTTTACAAACCTTACAACTTGGTCCACACAGACACAGAAGAGTCACAAAAGTAGAACCACACACGTCTGCACGGTGTTTTATCTGCACAGGTGAGAAATCTCCTCACACTCTGGTGCAGACCAGTGAAATGTTATACAGCTGGCTCACACCTGTCAGTTTTCAGTCTCATGACATGATGTGTGAAGTGAAGCCAACGCCGCTTCACAGCATCTTTAACCTGCTTCATGCACAGAAAGAAAGACTTAGAACCACATGAGCATCCAACACACCTGCACTCACTTCATAATATGTCAAAGCATCACCTCGTGGTTTCAGTCTACAGTGTTGTCAAATACTGATGTTACACTGTGTGTGTGTGTGTGTGTGTGTGTGTGTGTGTTGTACTCACGTCTGTCTAGGTGGCAGTCATTCCTGTAATGGGTCATAATCAGAGAAGAAGAAGAGGAAGAGGGAGAGATGAAGCCTGACGACTCCGAGTGTGAGAGACTGAGTCCTGACTGGCAGAGAGGTGACCGCTGAGGATGGCAGTGGGTCGTACCATCTAACACTGGGAGGGGTGGAGGAGGGGGGATCCGCTTCATTTATCTGCAGCAAAGCAGGGAGGGAGGGGGAGGGAGAGAGAGGTAAAGTGGAACCAATAGAATGTAAGAGAAGGTGCAGTCCTCTCAGTGGTCCGGGTGACACTCCTCTGAACAGTGAAGTTTAAGATGTTGCTTCTTTCATCCTGCACCTGCATTTGTAGTCACACGCAGGTGATCCTTAGTGTTTGTGGACATGCTGCGCCCCCTGGTGGACGGAAACATGATCAGGCAAGGCAGTTTGATTTATACAGCACATATGGACAGCTGACAAACCAAAGGAGCCTCCAGACTGACTGAGTAGAGACCCAACCAGCAGGGTCACTGATCAATCAGCTGATCACCGTTTTGACGATCTGATTGATCTGTTTATCCCCAGAATGTCAGACACTGGTAAGAAGTCCCACTGTGACTCTCCAGAGCCAAAGGTGGCGTCTCCACACGTCTTGTTGTGTCCAACCAGCAGATCCACAGAGACTCACTGATTCTCATGTCTGACAAAGAAAAGCATCAGCTCCTCACATTAAAGAAGGTGGAACCAGAACATGTCGGTGACTGTTGCTTCTAAATAGCTGAGGTTCATTTTCTACCAGTGAACTGACTCATGGCTGCAGCTCTAGGTCACTGAATGGCTTCATGAGGACGACACAGCGGGTCGGACACAGTCCGGTTTGGAAGGAGGAGGTTTCCTCCTCCTACAGATGAGACCTGACAAGGCTCTGGAAACTCGGCCCTAACGAGGCCCTGCTGGGTGGTGGTCTGTCCTCTCATCTGTCACCAGCTGTGTTATACACAGAGGCAACTCCAAGCGTTCTACATAGGCAAACACAAACATTACCATAAAAATCAGTTAGCATTAAAAACCAGAATAAAATCAGTAACGGCAACTACAGTGCAGTACTCAGCTGTAAGTTGCTCCAAATGCAACAGAGGAAACAAAAGTGCAGCAGAGAAACCGATAAGTCAAAGACACAACAGCAGAGGTATCAGTTTGCAGCATCACAGCTAAAATCAGACTGACCCTGTTTGGTTCTGATCACCAGGCCAGGACACAGACTCAGAGAGCGGTGGCACACTGGAATAACATGCAAAAATAAACCACTAATATATTAAAAAACACATTTTAAGAAACAAATTGCTTGTGTAAAACTGAGATGTTCTTTAACTAAATGTGGCTCCTTATTAACTCCCGGGTGGGGACATCACTGCTGCACAGTGACAAAACAGCAACAAAAGAGATTCAAAGTCACTTAAACTATTCAGATTGACTAAAATAAGACAGAAAAAGACCCCAAAACATCTACAAATATATGCAGAATGACAAAAAAACTACTACAAAAAGATGCAAAACAACTAAAAACCAACACAAAACATGTAAAATGTTGCACGGCCCAGACTCTGCTCCACAGGATGATGGGGACACATCTATGTTGGATCTTTTGGATTCGTGATGGCGCCACATGTACTCTACATTCATGTCATGTCAACAGGACGAGGAGGAAGCGTTTGCTTCATGGTGGAGTTACCATAGTAACCAGTTTTGTTCACATCAACGTGATGCATAAGGTAGTTCAAACTGGGAATGTCTTGGTACTAAGCAGGCGAACAAGGACGTCACATCAGCCAGAGTCCACTGGAGCAACACAACCATTACTCAACAAGACTGTTACACCCCCGAGAGGAAACCTAAACAACATGTGAGCTGCTCTCCCACTGTTCCCACTCCAAAGAGCAGTCAGCCACAGTTCAGAGCAGCCGTTCATTTGCTAAGGAGCAGAGTAGTGCCCACACATGACCGAGTCTGCCCCAACCTTCCCTAACAAAAACAGAAACATGTTGGTACAACAGTACAAGGCTTCTCGCTCCAGCCAAGTGCTGCCTCAGGTGGCATGTGCAGTAGCACAAGAAGCAGCTGTGATGTCCAGTTGTAGTTTGGCTGAACAGCCTGGACTCTAAATACTGGATGTGGAGTCAGGATCCGTCTCAGTTCAACACTATAAATTCTTCACAGCAGGATTTTCAGTGGAAAAAATAAATGGCCTGTTTATCTGCAGAATGTGGGCAGTGCTGATGGGTTTAATCAGTGTTTATAGTGTGACCCAGGTCAGAGGGAGGGGAGGCAGCGGCGCCCCGATCAGCCAGCTGCTGTCTCTCTCTCGTTTAATTACAACACCCATTAAATGATTTCATTTTAATTAAAGCTGTCCTATCTCATTAAGATATGATGATGAGGAGAGCCGCGCCGTCTCCTGGGCCTCGTGATTTATCTTGGAGTTAACCTCCATCAGCAGCCGGCTAACAGCCTCCCAGCATGCATTTCAATGAAGGCTGATCGATCAGCTGCCAGGTCAGTGCAGCACACATGCACAGGGCCGTGCACAGGTTTAACCTGCTGGTTCCTGCAGATTTACACATCTCTAGTTGGACGCTGTCTGATCACCATCAGCTGATGGAACGCAATTCTGAATATACGCTTTTTGTTTGTAATGGACTAATTTCACTGTTGTACTGGTACTTTTTACTTTAAAAAACAAGCAACTGTATTAATTAGAAGACTACACAGTCTGATTGTTTTACATAATAATAATAAACTCAAACATTGTCCCCACCTGCATTTGACTGCAGACACTTTGTGTGAATTAGCTGTGTTCTCAGCTTTTACGTGGCGACGCAGAAATCAAAGCTTCAGCCTCTCATCAGTGACGTCACCGACACAAATCATTTTCTAAAGTGCACCAGAGCCACATGTTGGGGAGTGTTTCTGCTACGAGGTCAGGTTCAAACATCAGCTGCATGTTTGGAAAAGGAACTGTTTTTGCAGCAGAAGTATAGGACTGTAGCACCACCTGGTGGACAACAGAGTACTTTATGAACCGACCACAGATGGTGACGGTTGAATTTCTTTATTTACACACGGTGCTTATTCCGCTTTGCCTGGGCATCAGTTTGCCCCTTAAACTGAT